GGAAAAGGGTTAATTAACTTTCAAGCGCAATCATCTAAAGAATGTCCTATTTGTGAAGTTATACATGAAAAAAATCAATTATACAGGTTTCTTCTAAAAGACGGATGTTTTATACTCAAATGTTTTCGGCAAAAACAATATAAACCAGCTCACAAGGGATTAGTATTTGGCGAAGTAACTAATAATCTACTAAGACCTAAATGGGGATTAAGTGAAAGAATAGTCAATATCATAAAGCATCCACGTCCACTTGTAGATTTATCTGGGAAAAATATTAATGTTAAAGAGATGGAAGATGCACCAGAAGCTTATCCGGATTTCTCGAGTGACGAACCCACTACAACCTTAATTCGTTCACCCGTTGCTACAGGGAAAACAAAAACTTTAAGAGAGATTCTTAATTCTTTAGCCAAAAGCGAAGCGAATTTACCTTGCTTTAACTGGATTTCATATCGTAAAACTCTTAGCAATGAGACTAAAGCTAAAGTTGAAATATTACAAAATTCAGGACTTCGCGTGTGCCATTATCAGGAAAATGGCGGTGATTTAGCTATACATGACTGGGATGTTATCATCGTCCAGGTCGAAAGTACACATCGTCTTTCTCTTTATGGAGGGCGTTCTTATGTAGTTATCTTAGATGAAGCGAACGCTATCATGCGTCAAATGTCCAGTGGGATCCATGCCCGAGAATCAGAAAATGCTATGCGTGATTTGTTGAAGTTTGCTGTTCACGTTGTGGCTATGGATGCTTTTGCGAATGAATCAACTTTAACCTTCTTAAGACAATATCGAGGTAGAGATATACGAATTTTTGATAACAAGTATCAGACACGTAAAGATGAATCTGTAAAAATTCTTTATGACCCAGACAAAGGATCAGAGGCTATGCGTAAAGGTCTTTGGATGCTTCAAGAAGGTAAGCGTGTTGTCTTTTCTATGACTTCATGCAAAAAGGCTCGAGCTTTGGCGCTTCAAACCTACAAGTTACGAAAACCAGATGGTTCACCTATCTTGACACGTGTTTATTTTGGTCAAATGGATGGAAAACAACGTCAAGAGGATTTTGCTGATATTAATGCTACCTGGAGTGGTCTTGATTGCGTAATTTATACAAACACTGTGGAAGCTGGTATCTCCTTTGAAATTCCTAATCATTTCGATGCAATAATAGCAATTAGTAATATCAATACAGGAGTTCACGTTGAAGCTTTTGCACAAATGCTTTACAGAGTTCGTGACTGTCCATCGCGTATAGTTTCTCTTTATCATAGCAAAAACCCTTCCGAGATTTTTAAAGAACCAAATCGTGATCTTATTCGTGCAGAACTTTCAGCTTTAAGACCCAGAGATTTGCCAACTGTTATAAAGGGGCGTCATGAATGGGATAAAATTGCCGATTGTTATACACTTGATTCATCCCCAACAGTAGAGACTTATATCGAGGTCGAATATCAGAGACGCTTATCAGCCAAATATTTTCCCGAAATTCTTTGCAGTCTTATCGCCAGTACTGGAGCATTTCTTGATCTAGTTTCAGTAGAAAATTCCAACTTGGCTAAGGCTGATCGTGTAAATGTATCTAATGATATTAAAGGAACTGCAAAAAAAATCGAAGTTGCTGAAGCGGAATTAATAGCCAATTCCACAGATATTGATCCCAGTGAAGCTGAATTGCTTAAGCAGATTCCTACACGTTCTTTTACTGATAATATGATTCTACAACGGCATTATTTATGGAAAATTTATGCTTCAGGTGACATAGGAGGTAAGAATGATTCTCGAGATTGGGGCATGGATAATGCTGATTGGGTTAAACTTTGTGATATAGATTTTGTAAAAATATTCAACAATTCCGAACCTTTACAACATTTTAGAAGACTTGCCTATTTCCGAAGACAAGGTTCTAATGCGATAAAAGCTTTGGAAAATTT